CATCAACTCGGTTGAGAGTGCGAAGGCGTCGTATTTGGACTTAACCAAAACAGGGTGGCCAGCTCTGGCAAATCGAAAAACGCACGTGGGCCATGGGCTTAGCGAGACAGGGGGCACCAAGAGGGCCTCGTGGCCTCGTGTCCCTTTCAGGTCGCACAGGTTGCAAATCGATGGTACTGGCCACACTTTGGTTCTAATCCAGTACAGACAACTTTTCGTAGGGAAGCTGGTTAGGAAAATGTCTCACCAAAAGCCGCCTTTTCAGGATGTCTGTGCCTTGCCCCCCAGAGGTAACTTCTCGAAAGCTTGGCCTGTGCTGCGGGGATTTCCTGCCGCCGGAGTTTGCCTCCAGCCCTTTCCTGCTCCTCTTCCAGCAGGTTTTGACGAATTGGTTTGATGTGTTCAACAACCACTGCAGGAGGATACTTCGCAGCAATAATGTACATGTGTACACTGGATACGTGAGTTTGTACATTTATCCAGAGAGAGAGAGAGAGAGAGAAAAAGAGAGAAAGAGAGAAAGATAGAAAGAGAGAAAGAGAGAAAGAGAGAAAGAGAGCTGCAAACATGTCAATTCAACCAGCAAGTACTTCCACCCGCCTTACAGACGCTACAAACAACTCCTCTCCCACCCCACCCCGCACCCTCCCGCCTTTGGATCAAGGCCGCCTCCCCAAAGTAGCTGCCGGGGCAGAGGGTGTTCACCTCCGCCTCGGGGCTCCCGCGGCGCACCGACACGGAGCCCGACTCGATGAAGAAGAGCTCGTTGCCCTCCTCGCCCTGCCTGGAGAAGGGACTGGCTGAGCCACAATTTCAAAACCTGGCAAAGGGGTCGACCCAAAAATTATGCAAAGAGTCAAACAGGCAGAGATCTGAGGCTATTTCTGGTTGGGACTTTCCCGAACTTTTGATTGTGGCTCATGGCGGCACCCTTCCCTTGTTTTTCACCGCAGGCGGCATCGAGCTTGCCTCCTTTTCTCCTTGCGATGGACAAAAGGTAATTTGAGGTCGTGCTGCTTTCACACAAGCTGGCAAAGCCCCTTTTCGAAAGGTTCAAAACATGCCAAGGTTCCTGCCTCACGATGCACTCACCCTCTGCGACCTCCTTGCAGGGTTCAGGATTTGGCGCTTCGCCAACTGCAAAATTCAAACACGACGCCGCCGATTCTTTTCTGACCGCAAGACCAAACGGCCACCGAAACAGACTGAGCCAAGCCCTCGCGCCCTTCGTCTACCCACGACCCGGGATTTGATTGTGGCGCAAAAGCGCAAGTGATCCGGTGCCCCAAACCACCCACCCACCCACCAAACCACCCACCAGCCACCCAACCAACCACCCAACGAGGCAGCCAGCCACCCACCTGCCCAACCAACCACCCAAACTACCAACCTCAGTCCTGGGTGTGAAAGACCTTGGCCAACTGCAGCATCTCCTCCTCGTTCAGGGCATTGAAGGCTTCCACCTGCGCGAGCCGAGTAGCCGCTCACAAAAGGCTACGGGCTGGTCCTTGAACAATAAAACAGGGAAGCTTGTTGCTACATACTATTGAAACACCAAAAAGGGGTTCAAGGGTTTTAAGATGATTGGTAGAAAGGATTCTAGGGGTTGTAAGAAGTACCCGTATTCAGCGTGCTAGAACCTTGCTTGAACTCCCGGCGGTTTTATTCTGCAAAAGAAATGCATAAGTACGAAGCATCTCCACTGCTGAGTTCAAACAGTCTTGTAGCTTGACACCTACTGCATCCCAGATGATTTCATCAGGCTTCCCCAAAGTCCCCTGCCTTCTCCCTCAACTGCCAACTCCCGTCCGTCCCGGTCCGATCTGGCTGTGGGTCACAACTGCGTACCCAAAATGGAACCCTGATAAATGGAACCAAAGACTCAAACCTGCGGCCCAATTCCTGGTGGGTGATTTTTCGACCCACACCCATCTGATCCGTTGATCCGTTCAAAACCGTCCGCCTTGTGCATGAAGTCCAGGATCCTCACCACCCCCGAGTCCACCACCATGCTGCAGGAGCTATCTGAGTGCAGCAGCACATCCCGCGCCTGAGGCAGCGCCAGAGCCATCAGCTCCAGGACCGTCGTTTCAGCGGAGAAAAAACCCGCCGGCGAGCGCTCGGTCTGGGGAGCGCTGCGGACTGCGCCCGGGGGGGGGGGGGGAGTGTGGGGGGGGGGGGGGTTTTGCAGGGAGAATGGCTGTGACGCAAGGCAGGGGTTGAAGTTGTGAGGAAACCGATTGCCAGGAGAAGATTGCCAGGAAAAGAGGCCTCATGCGCAGAGAGCCGGGCGAGTTGCGCTGGTGAAAGGAGAACTGCCTGCCTGCTTAGTTTGGCAATACATTGGTGGCCGAGATTGCTTCATGGTACACTTGCACATAGTATATGTCTTGAGCCAAATGGAAGCAGCATCACCACGAGAACAGCCTTGGACATATTGACATGCTGACGCGCCTCCAGCTTGCAGCAGGATGTTGCTGACAAATGTGAAGACCAATGT